GAAAAAGATACATCGCGAATTTCGTCACTCCAATAAACTACATTGACATCTTCGTGCTGTGGAAATCTACTGGTGGTGTTCTCGGGTCTATAAAGAACATTGACTTTTAAATAAATATCTTGTGGAACAATTAAAGGACCTTCTCCAATGGCAGTCACAGCTGCAATATGACCAATACAAAATGGTTCTCCTGTATCTATATTAGAGCCACGCAAATTATTGTCACTCTTCCTGTAATATTCAGGATATGTGTCTTCATCAACTTTTTCTAATTTTGGTTTCACATTATTTACATTGTTACTGAGACTATTTTTTAGCTTGAACGTTCCTGGTTTAAGAAAAACACTACACCCTTTCTTGTAATCATAATCTTGCCATTTCACATATGTCCATTCTGTCCTATTAGATTCAGTAACAAAACTGGATTTTTCCAACAATTTCCCAAAGACTTTTGGTATATTCTTAGCATCTCTTTTAGTTTTTCTTTCACACGATGGACAAAATCTGTGCTGCCTCAAGGGATTAGGGCATATTGGATCTGAGGGTAAATCCTCGAAACGTGCAGTGAATCGTTCATAATATTTATTGTAAAAATATGTTTTGCCGTCATCTTCAAAATGCTTATCATCAATTTCTTTACCGCCTAATCTAAACCAATCAGCTGGAATTTCTCCCTTTTCTACACTAGCTTTACGCAGTATTGATGAGAGCGGAGCACCGTGGCAACACCTGTCTCCTAAAAATACTTCTCTGGGGTCACTAACTTCACCTAAAACAGTGTCTGATGCTCTGATGAACACTTCGGCATGGAAATACCCAGATTGAGAATTTATTGTTTCCTTCCACATGTACACCACTCGGGCAACCAAAGCAGGAATATTTGACTGTGAAGTTTCCACCATTACAAAATCACCATTGCAAAGTTCAGAGCCATCTATTTCAACTTTTTCGTAGTAAACTTTGGTAGTGTCAGCCTTGGTAGGTTCACCAATCCATTTAATTTTCCTGTTATTTGAACCTGTCAACTTGACAGGCACTGTGTCCTCTATCTTGTCGTGATGCTTTTTCTCAGCCATTTGTTGGTATTCGTCCTCATCATCTGGTTCTGAATCTTCAGCCTGTTCTACTGCCATGTTGGGACAAAATCTTCGCACACAAGCTTTTTTAGTGCGTCCATGACCACCGAACTTTGCCATTGCTCGGCACGCATTACATTCACCACAATCGGGCAATTGGCAAGCTTCACAGACACCACATCGCTTTCTTCTTAGCACTAACTCATGATTTGTTTTGTCTAACTGATTAGTGAAAAAGCTTTCAAAAGTTTTCCGTACAAGAGGCGTAGTAGTAGCTTTAGTCCAAGCTTTTTTATCAATCTTTTTGTAATCGATTTTAGTGCGGAATTTACGCTTGCCGAATTTAATACCCATAAGTTTAATCAACTCCCTCATACATGGTAGTGTTATAAGTGGATCATCATCTTCTTGCGCTTCTAAGCTTACCACCTGGTCGCAAACAAACTGAGCATGCTTGTGAAGCATTTCTTCAGTCAGTTTCATATCATTGAAATCTGGGATAGTAGACTCTCTTATGAGTTCTAGTAAATCTTCATATGTAGGTTGTAGATAATGATACTCCTCTAAATACTCTATGACTACTTTGCTGAGCCATATTTTTTCATAGAGGTTGTTCATTATAGGTGCATATTGTTCACTTGGTTTCATTAAATTATATTCTCCGAATTCTGTTGATAATGTTACACAGTTTCTATCACCACAATCAAAGCCATGTATGAACCTGTAGCAAAGAATATAATAATATGTTTAAACTGTTGCACAAAATCATCATCTAGTGGGAGAGCTATACCTTGGCACGAATGGGTCGGCTCCCACGGCAACCACGGCCTCACAGAAAACCGGCGTGAAACAACTACAGCGATATGTTTCGCGGTGTGAGTGAGGTTACTGGAGACCCAATCCTTCCCCTCCCTAATCCCTTATCCCTAAAAGGCAACACACTCGTATCTCCTTTGTTGCTGCGGGTGCCCATAGGCGACGCTGATTGCTTACCAGCAGGTAATACGTCTGCTCGTTTGCCGAACTATCACATAAAATGCCGAACTATCACACAGTTGCGATTGGCAAATCTGAAGAAAACAGGATGTCAATAAAATAATTCTGTTTTTATGTTACTCACCATTCAATAATAGGCCCTACATCTTTCACAGGGACGGATTCATCATCAATGTCTGGTGAATCTGAGCAAATTGATTTTAAGTATCCTGACATATAAATACACACATCATTTTCAACAAGACCACCATCAATTGGTACAAGGTGGCCTTGCTCGTCAAATATAGAGAAACTTGTTATATTTGTTTGTGGCCTTTCCATTATGTCGCCATCTTCACCTGAAAATATTTAACTGAAAGTCTTACTCAGGCCAAGCAGAAATGAAATTATCTAGTTGGCATGACTGAATAAAAGATCTGAGCTCATGAAAGTATGCAAAACTCAGTAAGTGATAAGTGTAGTCATCAACTTTAATTTACCCATTTCAAATTGCTTTTATAGCTCTAAAATCCTTTTATGATGAATTCATAAGAATCTTATATTAATGTATGCATCATCATAGACATCTTTATAGACATGAGTCTGGTCTATGAAGCCTAAATGTAAATAATATAATTGTTAATTGATTTATAGACACTAAATAGTATCTTTAAATTTACTTTACTAGTTTACAATATCATAAATACTCACATAGTAGAGTAGTAAATAATATTACTAACCTGATGCGAGAACAAGTTTCTCATTAGTTAATGCTATATACTCTTCCACTGAATTCTGTGGGTGTCCTTGATAGTAAATTATATCAGAATTATTGAGAAATTGACCACAGGTATCACATTTTTCATTGTCAATAACAGTCATTTTGGTTTTTACTATAACATTATTGTTTTCATTTTCATCTATTTGAAATTGTGAGGTGTGTTTACTGTCTTTGTTTTCATCAGTTTTACATTCCGCTTCAATTTCATCACTGGAACATGTTTGATCACCTTTTTTAAAGTCATTATTGTTATTATTATTGTTGTTGTTGTTATTGCTATTCATTGGTTCATACATCCTATTCAGATCTGAGGTTTCACTGGCAGAGTCAGTTTCTATAGAGGAGATATGACTATAATCTTCATCAGTGATACTATCAGTACTGCTCTCTTTAGATTCGTCATATTTGAGTTTTTTCTAAAAGCAAAAAGGTATTTACACAAACAAAAAAAATAAACTTTCCAACTTTTCAAAGTTAAAAATTGTTTTTATAAAAAAATATTTGATACACTATAATAAAATGCAATATAGACTGCATGATCAAATTGATAGACTCACAACACATTGCACGGCAGCTAGTTGCCCAGCCACCGCACCAACCATGCAGTCAGTCAGTGTTAAGTTCAAACAATTTTTTGAATCATATAATGCATATAAAGATGTTTTCTTTATTTTTTATTAAATGGCAAGAGTAAGTAAAATTTAAAATATATAAACTTACTGGCTTACACATGCCAGACCCTTCTGGACTTTGTGTTCTTTTGGTTGCAAACATTGAAGTAATTTTTAACTGGTTTCCATTGCGAGGAGATCTTCTTGATGTTCTGAAAATTTAAAGTCAATAGAAAACTGATGTTTCTTCCTCTTTGGACTCGTAGTTAGGAGGTTCAATTGTATATAATAGTAGCAGATCTACTCTACACTTTACATAACAAATTATTGCAGTAATGAATAAAAATTTAATTTTTATTTTAATAAGTTTCTCGTAAATTAACCTGTAGTTTGAAATATGCATGAAAATCTTAATGCAGTGGGGTCAAATGTGAAAGTCTTGTCATATTAGTATCACATAGACGTAGTTAGATATTACTGCAATTGTATGATTTAAGTAGGTATATCAAATAGTATTTAAATATATAATATAGCACTGAGATATACATACTTACTTGAATACCTTCATCTCTATATAACATTATATATAAACACCTATTTTACAATATCTAATAATGTAGACAACTAAAAGTTAAACTCATGTTGAAATAGGTAAACGTTTTATGATTTAGACAATATTTTGATATAAATATAACATCTGAATTATAATAATTGTACTTACGACGGTGAGGGAGATTTGCTTTTACCGGCAGATGAACACAGAGCATCCTTTTGCAAATTCATTACACTTCGATTTGATATTGGCATGTTGAATGATACACTTTTAATTACTTCACGACATTTAATAGTTCATGTTTTATGAAAAATATGAAATCAAATCGTCAAATTCCAACTCTAATTCTAAATAACAATGATGTAGTTGTGATAATACTGAAAAAGGCGCCAAACCAAATCTTGTTCTTAGATGTCACAGTTTTATGAAAGTCAAAAATCATAACCATAGATTTTGATTCTTTTTTGTTGTCAATTACCATAGATCGGTAGAAAATATTTCAACATTTTAGTAGTTTGAAACGTTTAAACGTAGTGGTTACATACTCTTTGGTTTGAACTTTTCGGTGAAAGACACGACCTCAGCGCTCAGTACCTGGCTGATTCTCCAAAAAACCTTAACTTTTATTTAACAAGTCATTATCCTCCCAGGTTTTTAAGCATCTTAGTAATTTATTTTATACCATATTTTTAATCGGTTGCTTGTAAGCAGTGGTGAGATTTAATTTAATAAAATAATTATCTGTGTTTTAATCAGCAGACTCGTTAATTTTCGGTTGAGGATAATGACATTATTAATTTTTTTTTAATTGATGTGAAGAATAACCCACCTAACAATTAACTTATTATATGATTATACTCTTACAATCACAGAACATATATACTCTAGAAGGCTTACAATCTGAGAGGTGACGACGACCAGTGAAAAATTAAATTTCTGATGATTTTTTTTCGCAACCAGCTGATATCACAATGATGACAACTATGGCACTAAGAAAGATGACAGATCCGACAGAAGTGACACAGAGTGGAAGTCTACTGCAGTCATAATATTTATTCGTAATATCACGCTATAAAATGCTGAAAGATTTTTGAATAAAATATTTGTTAAGGACGTAGAAAATAAATTTTATCAAGTTTCATATATTCTTTGGCAAAATGATATTTTGCTCTCCATTTCGACATCTTACTTATTTGAAATCCAAGTTTATTAGGTTTAGTTCCACTGCATTTGTGCCGGATATTGATATAAATTATTATTGTAATACTGAAAATTCTTTGGAAATCGATGACAATATAAAATTAAGAAAGGGGGTGGGAGATATTAAACTCGTCATGGAAATGTTTAAATTGTTAAAAACAACTCCAATCACCGACGCATCATATGAAATAGTACGAGATAAATTATACAAAGAATTAAGTTGCTTGCCAAATAAAACACATCCTTCAGTCTTAAAGAACCTTGAACCACATGTTGTACGAGAAATAAATAAAAAAAGAGATTTTCAAGAACACACTCCTTTGGAATTCAGTGAAATAACAAGACGGCTTAACTTGGTGAGGACTGATAAGTTAGGAAACACATGTGGCCACAAGAGCTATTATTTTCTTGGAGAACTTGCAGAGCTAGAGGAAGCTTTAATAAAATATACTGTGAACAAGCTTCTTCAGGAAAACTTCCAACTGGTTTCAGTACCAGATATTTTACCTAGTCAAGTTTTGAAGAGTTGTGGAATGACAGTGAACAATGACAGAACACAGGTATATATTAACATTTCCTAAAAATTTTACTGGTCAGTCATCAAAATTTTACACCTAATAAAAAACTGAAACCCATTGTAGTAACTTATAATAGTCTACCAACTTCATATATATTGATTATTTATTTTCTTGTTAAACTTTCTTGATTCTTAGGCTTTGTCAATTTACTGTTACCAAGTGTATTGATGAAATAATATACTTGTTATTTTTCCTGTTTCAAGATATATTCTTTAGATCCAGTCCACCATGGGCCAGATTTGTACTTATCAGGTACGGCTGAAATGTCTTTAGCGGGACTGTTGATGAATACATCGCATTTGGAAAAAGATTTACCTAAGAAACTGGCCGCAGTGAGCAGGTGTTTTAGGGCTGAAACTTCTAATGTCATAGAAGAAAGGGGAATTTACAGGTAAAGCGGGTAACTTTTACTAAAAGAAATACTTAAACAGTACATAGCCACTAAGATAAGATGTATGATTTTACAACTAAAGATAAAGGAAAAAAACATAAAGATAAAAACTCAAAATAAAATCAAATTAATGTCTCATTTCACTTGTAGTTTTTCAAACCTTCAATTGTAATAATAAATTTTCCATTACCCACAGAGTACATCAATTTACTAAAGTAGAAATGTTTGCAGTCACCATGCCAACTCAGTCAGAAAGTATGCTTGAGTACTTAAGAACAATACAAGAGGAATTGTTTACTCCTCTGGGATTTAGTATGAAAGTACTTGATATGCCTCCACATGAGTTAGGTGCTCCAGCTTATAGGTATGTCAATATCCCACAAATATTTGTAATATGTAATGTTTTCATACAAAAACCTAAAATAATGTCAAATATCATATTTTACAAATTATTTAACATTTTTACAGGAAGTATGACATAGAAGCATGGATGCCAGGCCGAAAGAATTATGGTGAAATATCTAGTTGCAGTAACTGTACTGACTATCAGGCAAGAAGATTGCACATCAAATATGTTGACAATGGTGAACATAACTATGCACACACACTAAATGGCACTGCATGTGCAGTACCAAGGATGCTGATAGCTTTACTAGAAACTCACCAAGACCCTAAAGGGAAAATCTTCATACCTGACATATTACAGCCGTACATGAATGGGAAAAAATATATAGTTAAAAACAATAGTGTGCCAGAACTAAAACTTATGAAAATAAAAAGATAAATCACACCATTTAATCATTTATTTTATCATACACAATTTTGTATAACTGAAGTGTTATTAGAAATTGGTAAAGTTCAACTGAAAACTAAAAATAGCTAATTCACATTAGTAATTTAATAACGGTAATTTAATTTTTTCTTTAAGTTGTGACAAAAATCAAGTTATACATTAGACAATACTGGAATTATTTCAATTCATGGTATATATTTACATTTGTGGAACAAACTAATAAAAATGAAGTGAAGAAGTGAAAGAAGAATTCTTAGTCCTTTTTTACTCTAGCTCCTTTTTGTTGTTTTGACAGTTTTTTCATTTTGGATTTAAACAAATTAAGATCAACACTAGTTTCAGGAGTCTCATTGTAAGTATTTGTTTTCTCTTCTGGAGGAATGAAATCTTTCTGTCGTTGTTCTTGTTTGGCTCTCTTAGCTTCTGCTTGTTTTTCTTCTTTTTGATGCCTTTTCTTGGCCATCTTCTGTTCATCTTTAAGGAAGTATTCTCCAGTAGCAAGTTCACGATCAATTTTGCTTTCCTGTTGTGGCGGTGGGAATGGAGTGTATGGTTTCTTCTCAACTTTCTTTTTGGGTTGTTTTCTTGGCACATTCTTACTTTTAAATGTAGGTAAAAATCTATCCCAACTCTCATTTTTCAGTCGAGGATCCTTCATTAATTCTCTTTTGATCATTAAACTTTTAATGTTATACATTGGATGTATATTTTTCATTGTGTCTTCAACAATTCTCCTGACTTGAACTAGGCCTTTGTAAGGTCCAACTGCTGAAACTGTATTTCCTTGCACTAACACATAACACTCTGTTAAAAGTTCTATAGACTTCAAAGTTACTCCGTTTGGCCCAATTAAACGCTGCCGTCTCTTCAAAAATGTTTCCTTTTTACGAACAAACGAATTGATTTTTATGATATCACATCCTATTTCATCATCAAGGACTCGCACTGCTTGTTCAAAGGGAACGCTACGAGAAAGCAGCTTCATTAAATCTCTTGCTTTGATGATGATATATGGGTCCCATGTTTTTCTTGTTGTTTTCACAGTTATGCTGCCTTCAATGAGGTCTAGTTCAGCGATTATATAATGCTCTTTTAAAACCTTCTCCACAAGAGGCCAACATTCTTTTAAGTATTGCTCTCTGTATTTTGGAAATAAAGTAGCAAATTTACTTTCCTCTAAAAGACCATGTGGGTTATCTTCAGGCGTAAACTTAGGTATTTTCATTGCCCAAGCATTATCTACGGGGCCTATCACCTGATTGTTATCTTCCGTATCCACATTATCCATTTTTCAAGGTTTCCAAAGCCAGTATAAATATTAATAACCAGAAAATATTTAACTAATCAGTGCGTAGAGTTAAAACCATGCTTACATGGATGGATACAAATTCAAATTACCAATACCAAATGACAGCCGACACTGACAGATGTAATGTCATATGATGACGCTGACAGCTGCAAACTTTTTTTTTTTATTGGAGTTTATGGCCTGGATACAAGTGACAGCTGCAAACTATGTAATAGGAGCATAGAGTAGGTATAGAAATACAGAAATACATAGCGATGCCGTAATGTCTACTGAGTTTGCTGCTTGCTTATACAAAATATCGATTAAATTGGTACTTAAATATATGAAACAGTCAGTAATCAGTTAAGACAAAAACCGACAAAACCGAAACCGTGTTTCCTTATCATTTTCTAATTTGAGAATTCTAACAATTTCATTTCCAGTGATTTGTTTTGACACACACAGACTTTTGTTCCTTTTATCAGAGGCGTTCCTACAAGTTAGAATGATGAAGAGGTACAACTTATCTGTCCTGATTGGCTGTGAAATTATAATAATCCCTCCCCCTCCCGCTTTCCCATCCCTTCATATCCGAAACTTTTATCCCCAAAGCGCCGGCAACGCATAACACATAATCCTTTGGTGATGCAAGTGGCGGCACTGATTGCCTATACTGGTAATCCGTCTGCTCGTTTGCCGACCTATCCAATTCCATAATAAATATATGAAGATATATCTAATAAACACTGGATGTTGATTTCCATCTTTCAACTTTCTATATTTCTGTAGTATAGAGTTGACATTTTAGCAATTTATAAATTTACAAACGTAACTCCAACTGTTACTTTGAAATTATGACTACTAAAACTCAATAAACTTATGATACCAATGAAAAGTAATTACCTACTGGTCATGTCAGCAGATTTCTGATTGTAGGCATAATTGTTCCCGCTTCTATTGTTGCTGTAACTTTGAAACAAAAATTATTTATATTAAAAAGTCAAAAGCACTGAGCAATTAATCACTAAAATTTCAAGACCAATATGATAAACAGGAGCGAATTTTTCCACACTCTTTTTGCCAACCTGTACAATCGGCAATCGATTACAATTAGTTGCAACCGACAGGTTGGAAAATTAAGTGCAGCTGGAAAAGGAAGAAACATAACAGTTATTTCTTGCATGAGTGCTGCAGATTGCTGCTCCATCTGAAAGTGTAACTTTAGCAAACGATAGATGGATGAATGAACACCATATTCTTGATCAATTCATTCAATAAATTTTTCAAAAACGTCTATGAGTCTTTGATCCCAGATGGTCATTGTAGCCATAAAGATTTCACTGTCATTAGTTTAATTTTTGATTTTATTCAATAGGGTGCCTACCGTACATCAGCAATATACATAAAATGCATTTTCTTAATTTTATGACTGAGACAGAGTTCTTGTAGGTATGTAGGTATATCTTTAACAGATGTTGGTACATACATCACTCACCGTAAACATTAAACTAAGGAAAATTACAATAGGAACAAAATTTACGAAGTTATGTGAATACCTACGAATACATTAAGATTTAAATAAAAATATCAACATAATTAATAATGTGAAACAAGATAAGGATACAAATAAAATAACATGAACCACGAACATACAAAATTATAATGAAATTAAATCAAATCAAATTACTGAAAATAAGAATCGGAAACAAAGACCTTAGTATTCACTGCAGCGTTTACCTACATTAGTTCTCTACAGAATGTGATATGGAATGTTTTAGTGATAGGGAATTTCGGTATTCTGGTGGAAACAGTGAGTTTAATGTTATAAACTAATTTGCTGCAGTCTGCTGTTCCGTTAAGGTGTTTGTGGAGGAATAAGTAGATATCATGAATTTAAGTTACCTCATCATATCAGCCACAGGACGTCCACTGCTGAACATAGGCCTCCCCCATTGACTTCCAGATAGGCCGGTTGGAAGCGACCTGCATCCAGCGGCTTCCTGCGACCTTAATCAGGTCGTCTGTCCACCTTGCGGGTGGACGTCCCACGCTGCGCTTGCCGGTACGTGGCCTCTACTCGAGAACCTTTCTGCCCCAGCGGCCGTCGGTTCTACGCGCTATGTGCCCTGCCCATTGCCACTTCAACTTACTAATCCGCTGGGCTATGTCGGAAACCTTTGTTCGTTTGCGGACATCCTCGTTTTTTATACGGTCTCGCAAAGAAACTCCGAGCATAGCCCTCTCCATAGCGCGCTGAGCGACCTTGAGCTTCTTTATAAGGCCCACAGTAAGAGACCACGTTTCAGTTCCATAGGTCATCGCTGGTAACACACATTGATTATAGACTTTCGTCTTAAGGCACTGAGGTAAGTTGGACGAGAAGATGTTGCGTAGTTTCCCGAACGCTGCCCATCCAAGTTGGATTCGACGATTGACCTCCTTCTCGAAATTGGACCTACCTAGCTGGATCACTTGTCCCAGGTATACATATTCGTCAACAATTTCGAGGTTAGAACTCCCAACTGATATCGGATAGGGCGTGACATGGGCGTTTGCCATGACTTTCGTCTTGTCCATGTTCATTCGGAGCCCTACCTGTTGAGAAACTCTACAGAGGTCATCGAGCATTGTGCTCAGATCCTCCAGCGATTTTGCCATGACTACAATGTCGTCGGCAAACCGGAGGTGAGTGATGTACTTGCCGTTGATGTTGATGCCAGATCCTTTCCATTCCAAGAGCTTGAAAGCGTCTTCCAATGCAGCGGTAAACAGTTTCGGAGATATGACGTCTCCTTGCCTTACACCTCGCTGCAGAGGAATATTCTTAGTGCTCTGGTTTTGTACTTGGACCGACATAGTGGCGTTTGTGTATAAGCACTTCAAAACCTCGATGTACCGAAAGTCAATATGGCACCGCTGGAGAGATCTTAACACAGCCCAAGTCTCGATCGAATCAAAAGCCTTCTCATAGTCCACAAACGCCAAGCATAGTGGCAAGTTATACTCCTCGGTCTTCTGTATAACTTGCCGCAGCGTATGGATGTGGTCTATGGTACTATAGCCTTTCCGGAAACCGGCTTGTTCGGGAGGCTGGAAGTCATCGAACCTACGTGTGAGACGATTTGTGATGACCCTCGAGAATAACTTGTAGACATGGCTCAGAAGTGAGATGGGTCTATAATTTTTCAGTAGAGTGTTATCTCCCTTCTTGAAGAATAGTACCACCACACTTCTGCTCCATGCCGCCGGCGTTGCTCCTTCGAATATGACGGAGTTGAAAAGCTTCTGAAGGACTCTCAGTACCGGTGTTCCGCCCGCTTTCAGAAGCTCTGATGTGATTCCGTCCTCGCCCGGCGCCTTGTTGTTCTTGAGCTGCTTGAGGGCCATCCTAATCTCGTATAGGCTGATGTCCGGGATATCCTCGGTATAGTGTCGGGTGAGTTTAGCTCTTGGATCGGCGACTGAGCTAACAGGTCTAGTGACCGATGTGTATAGCTGTCCATAAAACCTCTCGATCTCACCCAAAACTTCGGCCTTCGTCGACGCCACACTGCCATCCTCCGCCTTCAGCTTCGTCAGCTGTGTTTGCCCAATAGACATGTCCCTAGCGAACACTTTGGAGCCTTGGTTCCGCTCTATCGCTTCTTTAACCCTATTGGCGTTAAAGTTGCGGATATCGTGTCGCATGGACTTCCATATTTGTCTATTGAGCTGCCGATGTGCTTTAGCATCGGCAGAGGTCTGGAGTACCATAGCACGTCGTTCTGCCATGAGTTTAAGGGTGCGATCGGTAAGCTTCTGCGGTCTGTCTTTTCGGCGGGGTCTAAAAAACTTCGACCCGACCGCATGGACAGTTTCTACAAACCTGTTGCTAATCTCGTCCACTGACTCGCAATTCTCCAGGGACTCAAAACGATTCGATAGCTCGATCTGAAAGCTCTCGGGACAACCGATATGTGCATTTGAAGGTCGGAGCGTAGACTTCATTAGACGTGATCTTTCCAGCTTTATATTGATATTCAATGTGCCTCTGACCAGTCGGTGATCGCTGCCGGTTTTTACTTTATGGATCATAGAGACATCATTGAACATCTGTCGCTTTGTTGTCATGATGAAGTCGATCTCATTTTTTGTGGAACCGTCCGGGCTCATCCAGGTCCATTTCCTGTGAGACGGCTTCTGGAAAAAGGAGTTCATCGCAAAGAGGTCCTCCTTCTCCAGGAACTCAGCCAGTCTCTGTCCCCTGTGGTTCCGTTGCCCATACCCGAATTGCCCCACTCTCAGCTCGTTATCGCCTCGAGTTCCCAGTTTCGCGTTGAAGTCCCCCATAACAACATTGAAGTAGGTTTTATTAGTATGTATGGCCCTACTTATGTCCTCATACATAACCTCTACTTCCTCGTCTGGGTGTGTCGAGGTCGGTGCATAAACCTGGATAACCTTCAACGAGTATCTATTGGATACCCTGAGTATCAGGTACGCCACCCTGCTCGACACACTTTCGATGGTAAGAATGTTGTTGACGAGGGACCTGTGGACGAGGAACCCGACACCACCTTGGGACAGTTGTTCGCCCTCCCGGTAGTAGAATAGGTTGCCGGATCTTAGGGTTATCGTGTCCTCGCCCTCTCGTCGGACTTCTGACAACCCCACAATACTCCAGTGCAACCTACCCAATGCCTCTTCCAGCTCAATAATCTTCTCGTCTGTCCTCAAAGTGCGAACATTGTGTGTTACCAGGGCCAGTCGTCGTCGGGGGTGGTAGCCTTTTCTCCACCTCCGGGGATTCTTAGCACCCCGTGTCCCGCCGTTACCCTGACCGCTACCACGGTAGCCAGGAACGGCGGGACTGCCGGAGACTGGGGGCCTGGTTTTATCTGAGCAGTTCATATGGGGGGATTTGCCAATACTCACCACGCTTGGCAGGCGGGTTGGCGAGGGCAGTTAGGTCACCGATAATTTTTAAAGAATGCTGCTCCCCATTCCTCGGTGTCTGGTCGCAGTTTTAGGACGTACCCGGGTCCACGTAAGTTACCTACCTATGCCACAATCCATATCCCTTGGATAGGGTTTTATGAAGCCATTCAATGATGTATATTATGTGGGTTATGAATGAGGACTAACAATAATGTTACAGTGGATTTTTGCTTAAGCGGAACTAGGTACCTACTTACTTACTCAAGTG